AGCCTCGTCCCTGGTCAGGAGAAGAACGGTCTAATCAGTCTCCCCCAAGTGTCGCGGCACTGAGGCCTCGTCCCCGGTCGGGGAAAAAGTCTTGTCCATTTCCCCCAAGTGTCGCAACACCAAGGCCTCGTCCATGGTCAGGAGAAGAACAGTCTTGTCAGTCTCCCCCAAGTGTCGCAAGACTAAGCCCTCATCCCTGGTCAGGAGAACAGTCTTGTCCATCTTCCCCAAGTGTCACGGCAGTAAGGCGTCATCCCTGGTCAGGAAACCTGCCTTGTCAGTCTCCCCTGATTGTGTTATGGTTTAGGAGAGAAATAATAGTCATTTGTTAAGTGTAAGGGTTTTTTTGTCTGTCTAAGTTGTTGGATTTGCATGATTTCCCTTTCCAGAAGAAAATGACGAATCAATTTTAATTGTGAGGGTGTATTTAAATGCAGTCAGGTAATGCTTATCTTGTTCCAGCATGTAATCAATAATAAATTCCAGACTAAGCCCTTAATTGAGAACACAGTGTAAAACAAAAAAAGGTTCCCTACCTGGTCATCTAGGAGAGCCTTGGCTTCTTCTGCATCCTAAATAAATTTGTGAAGATGCAATTGATATGTTACTGCTCGAATTATTGTTTCGTCTATTATAGGTACTAAAAGAATATCGTGTACTGTAATTTAAGATGCTTTCCATCTATCTTTGGCGTGATGGGTTATATGAATGAGTTATACTATAGCCATTAAACGTTTTTTACAGCTATTTGCAAGGGTTAATTCTACACTGATTCATAGCTACGTTCAAAGAAGTAAACATTCCATGGTATCTAAAATTTCATGGCATCTAAAATAGTGACTTCCTTCTTCATGGCAAGCTATCTAATTCTCCCTTGGCAAAATTGCGGAGAATATATATTATTCCCAAGTAAAACATTTGTTTCATCAGATTGCTCATGCCCAAATTTCTTGTTTTCTCGTGAAGTTGCAAAGCATTTCAAAGTTGTCGAGCCATGTTACATAATGTGTGGAATACATAAAGTTTGATATGCGTTGTGCCGTATACATGACATAAAGAAGATGACAGATAACTAGTTTTTCACCAGTAATGGTTATTACTGGGTTTTTTTGTGTCTTTACGGACGCTAACAGCCTTTGAAACGTTTGATAAATAACGTCGTGACGATTCTGTAGTTTGGAAAGAGGTGTAAAGATCGCCCAGCACCAATCTAGAATTTCGGAAATTTTTACTCTGATAAATCGAAAAAGACCAGGTAAGTTGTTTTAACTGAAGTAAAAGTAAAAAACTTAATTAAATCAACGGGTTTATTTGTTTTGTTTAAATTTTTTGGCGGCTGCAATAATATGTTATTGTTTTACGATGTTATTTCAGTAACAAAGAGGGGAAAATTTGAACTCGACTGGGACTCGTGTTGTGTAAGGAGAAATCAACATAATAGATAAAGCTTTATGTACGTACCCTCTCGCAGATATCTAGCACCTCCTTGCACAAAAGGGGATCTTGGTGTTTAACCACCTGCTTTTGTCTTTGAAGGGTGAAATTTCTGTTGTGATCCTGCCCAGTCATACACCTCCTGTTAAGAGGTAAATTTCTTTCAAAAAAGCATTCAGTGAGCGGGTGTTCCTTTCATTTGGAAAGTGGGAAGCCTTTTAAACTAGAATTGGGGATCTGGGGCAGTTTTTTTCTTGTCACATACTGAGGGGACTACAAATATTCAGTTAAACTGTGAATCAATATAATTCAGTTTTGTTTCCTCTGATCGGGAAATATGAAAAGAGAAATACTTCTCAATGTCCATTGGCCTGGCTTTTCTGTTGACATAAACTTATACTTTTATCATTCATCAATGTCAAAACATTATGAATCGGCTTTAATGGAATGCAACTTATTGTAGG